TACTATGGGAATATTGCACGTTGTGTGCCATGTGTGTAGCTTGCTCGTGCGTACGAGTTAAGCGTGATTGTGTTTGTGGATGGTTGTGGACTCAACCATCAACGTCAAGGACTTGACGGGCGTTTGAGACGCGTTTTAGTCGTGTGTGACACGACGGCCAACGTCATGGACTTGACGGGCGTGGATGCACCCCTAGTCATGGACTTGACTAGGATATACGGCTAAGCCCTATGGTGGACTCCATACGGGTATGTTTGTATTTCTGTTGTGTCATGGATTTGACATCGGTAGTCACGAGAGTGACATGCGCAGGAGACGCGCAAGATCGCATGCGATGCGATGGCCAACGTCACGCAAGTGACGGGCGTGGAGGCGCCCCTAGTCATGGACTTGACTAGGGTATACGGGTAAGCCCTATGGTGGACCCCATACGGGCGTGATTGTGCTTGTCTTATACGTGTTTATTGCATTTTCGTTTATTGCATGTGTTCTATGGAAATGTCGACTGTACCGTTCTCATTGAGAACGGGATTTCCGGGTTCAACCCGGGCTACTCACTAAGCAGTGGTGCTTAGCCCTCGTGGTTTATATTTTTCAGATCACGAGGATTACGCCTAGCGCTTCGGCAGACGACGACCTGAGAGAAGCAGCATCATGTACGGGATTTGTATTCTGAACTATGGGACTTGTAATTCCGCATTCTATACGGTTGTATTATGACTATTCGGACATGTGTCATTTTGCGATACTGATCGCGTTGTATTTCCCGCTGCTTACTCTGATTTGATTTAAAAATGTTTTTGGATTTCGTAATTTTGCTTCCGCATTTTATTATTTTATTTTATATTGTCCATGTGGCACAGCCCGTATACTGTACACGGGTTACGGGTATCACAACCAGACCCGAAGAACAACTGGTCTGGAGCTGACCTATTCAGGTCCGTCGGACCAGAACGCCTTTGCCCTTCGCCAGTCCGCCGCATGCCTGCTCAGTCAGCCGGAGGGAACCTACTGCAGTCCTGGTCCGGAGCTGACTTGTTGTGGTCCGCGGACCAAGTTCATTTCTGCGCCACGATCCTATTTTCATTTTACGTCCGGTCCGCCGGACCAAACCTTGGTCCGGCTGACCGCGTCACCTAGAACTGATTAAGTCCGAATTTTCGGACTTTTGACAAGGAGTTTGACTTCTACACATCTAGGGCGGCGATTTTCTCCCCTCCAGAAGAGCTAGGGCCGAAATCTTGAAGGAGAAACAAGGAGTTTCCTCTAGCTATTTTGGTGTTCTTGAACATGATTTGTGAGTAATTTCTTGTTGTGTGATGAGGGATTAGCCCTCATGTAAGGATGCTTGTATTCACTTTGGATCCAAGATTATGCTTTGTTTATGCTTTCAAATCCTTGCATTGAATGAAAATCGTGTTCTTCAAGTTTATCTCTTTTGAATGAATGTTTAGGAAAACCTAGGATTTATTGAATTGAGTGATGCAATTGTTTGGGTTTAATTGCGAGAGTTTGATGAATGATGTTTAATGCTTCCTCTTGGATGAAAATCCTATGGGTAGAGTTTAGGATTGAGAATTTCATGGAGACATGGATTCTTCGTTCTTCGTTCTTTGATGCATTCATTGAATTTGCATTCGGGGCTTCACTCTAAGCCACAAAAGTGGATAGGGTGTTCTCTTGGATAGCGGACATTCGACTCGAAAGAGCCGATCTCGACCTTAGTCTTCGAATCTCTCACCTTAGAACGAGCACGATTTAGGTCCATAACTCCTTACGGCATCCTTGCATGATCGGTGAATCCTGATTCGCATAACCCTATCATTCGATTATCTTCTCTTGAATATTGCTTGCTTCGATTTTATTTTCTCTCAAAAAATTTAATTTTCTACAACTTTCAAAACAACAAAAACAATTTCCAATTTTATTTTAACCATTTTCCTAGTTTTGATCGATTCCTAGTTTAACCGCACAAGTCCTTGTGATCGACCCCGGTACTACGACATCCGTATACTTGCGGATATGTTGTGTTTCGGGTTATAAAATTAAAGCGCGTCACACAAGGATTATCTTTTCTTGACTTAGCCACCGTTTTCTTCAAAATTTGTTTGATCTCTCGGTTGAAAACTTCCATTTGGCCACTCATTTGAGGATAGTAGGGGGTGGTTACTCTATGGTAAACGTCATACTTAACCAAGAGGCTTTGAATCACTTTATTGAGGAAGTGTGCTCCCCATCACTTATCACCACTCTTAGGATTCCAAATCGAGGAAATATAATTCTTTTGAACATCTGGGACACAATGCTTGAATCATTTTTTTGGCTTGCAAGAACTTCTACTCATTTCGTCACATAATCAACCGCCACAAGAATGTATAGATTGATGCATGACGATGGGAAGGGTCCCATGAAATCTATGCCCCAAACGTCAAATGGCTCCACTTCCAAGATACAATTTTGTGGTGCTTCGTTCCTCCGCGAGATATTATATGTCCTTTGGCAAGTATCGAATGAGCTCACAAAAGAGTGAACGTCCTTGAATAATGTCGGCCAATAGGTACCCGCTTGTAAGATCTTCGCAGCGGTTTTGACTGAAGCAAAATGGTCCGCGTAGTCCGATGAGTGGCAATGATGTATCACTGCTACACTTCATGTTCTGGAATACACCTCCGAAATAATCCGTCTTTACCTCTCTTGAATAAGAAAGCTTCATCCCAAAAGCAATCTCTAACATCATGGAAGAACTTCTTCTCCCCGTTGTAGTTCAATTCCGGAGGTACCACTTTGTTCGCGCTTCTGCGATTTCCAATTTTTCTTCCGTTTTCATTCGTTCATAACTCACTCATTTCTCAACCAAATTGAACTTTGTTTGTTTCTAACTGTTCATTGCAATGCCTCTTTCTGAATCATGCAAAATGCATTGATTTAACACAGTCCAACAATGAAAACGAGCTCACACAGAGTCAACTCGAACCACTCACCTTTGATCAGATTCAGATCTGATTTTTGGCCGGAGTTTGTGGTGTTTTCCGATAATTCTCACGCCGGAGATCCTTCCAAACCTTCTAAAGCTTTTCCTCTTTGCTTTCTCGAGCTCCCTTCCTCTTCTCTCCCTCTCTTTCTCTTCCTCTCTCTTTTTCCTCTCTTTCTCTTCTTTTCTTCCTCTGCAGAAAAAATAGTTGAGATGACATCTTTGTAAGGGTTTTTTCGTCGACAAGGAGGAGTCAAATAGGTTCTAGTCCATGCCTAGTGTGAAGCCTGCATCGTGGAGGGTCCAGATGTGGTCGCGACGCGTCATTTGGTGGCCGACATGTGGAGAAAAGCATGGTGGAAGTCGGCAACTTGAGCTAGATCGCACATGTGTTTGTCGGGCTGGACCGGTCGGTTTGCCTCTTGGACCGGTCGGTCTGGGCGTCATGTTTCCCGTTTTTCGCCTTTTTCTCATCTCTTTTGCACGTGGTGATCCTCGGACCTCTTCCCGGCACCCTATGGTCCATTTTTTAAGGTTTTTAAGATCCATCGATCTAATTATTCTTTTCCAAAATTAATTAAAAATTCGAATCCAGATTCGAGGTATTACACATAATATATATACTTATACAAAGATACAAAAAAATAATAATAATACATATTTATATGTATTATAAAAACATAGAAGTTATCAATATTAATACATCATAATAAATTAATTAATTTATTCAAAATTATTATTAATTTATACATAACTTTTATAAAATGCACGTAATTTTATGTGATATGTTCAAAACATATATTATTATTATTACTATATAACAATTACATATATATATTTATATATACTAATCCAGATATATATATATATACACTTTAATTTTCATTATTATAAACTTTGATGATATATTTTTAAAAAAATATCCATATATAATGCACATTAACCTTTAATTGTGCATATAAATAAACACATTTTAGAAACAACATAATGAGATATATATAAAACGTGTTGCATTAATTTTCGAAATATAGTATAATTTCGAAACTTTAATCGATGAATTATGATAACACCAAAACACGTGCTATGATACCAAATGTAAATATTAATCTAATGGTTTTCGATAACTTAACTTTATGAAAACTCATCAAAAATGGATATGGTATTACATAATTCATACAAACTTAATAAGATAGTATATAACATATATGAAATATACCTTAATCCATATCGCAACGGAATGATTTAGAAAAACAAGTTAGTAGATTTGTTTTTCTCTCATTTCACCTTTACTTTGATAATTTTTTTAATGGATGAAAATTGTGAATCAAATGTCCACTATTTATAGGGTAAGGAGTGAGGGATATCCATAAATACCCAAAAACTTCAACATTTTAATAACTCATATCCATCAATGAAGTCAATATAACATTGAAGTCCAAAACCCAAAATTTCATGTGTCATTTTAATAGTTTATATTTCCAACACCAAAAACTTGAAAAGATTAAGGGGTTTGAAGTCAGATATGTTCAATATATCTATTTACAAAGGCTATACCAAAGACGATGTTCAAAATACATATACATGACATTGAGATGCATCGTCTATGGGACCTTTAATATCTTGTATATGGAGAGAACTATACTCTTTTTATTTTATCAAGGTTTTATTTCAAATGATTTTAATAATAAGGGTTCTAACAGGGCAAAATAAAAATACGTAATTATATCTTTCTACAAATTTTACTAAAGGTGCTCTAAAAAAAGTTATATAAATAAAATATATTTATAGTGTTATCATCGTTAATGTTTATTACGACATATACGTCAAAAGTGTATGAACAATTACTTCGAATTTTCTATAAATAAATTATCAATATTCGTTTTATTGTAAAATTTTTAAGAGAGAATAATAATAAAAATCCTATTCCACATTCTTTTAAACGTTTGATTTCCAATTGTATTTAACCATCTTATTTAAAGAGAGAAAAAAATGTGTAGAGTAATTTCATGTTTTTAAACCATCAATTCGTGTAAATTCCCAAGTTGACATCAATCTACTCCGAACTTCAGCCTGGGCTCGGAGTTTTCTCTATCCGTTCTCTAACCCTCTGTTCGCTCTCATCGTATTTCCCAATCTTTTGCTGCAATCAGATCAGCAAACCCATCAATGGCCGATGGGCACTCGAAGCAAGGAGGCTATGTCTGGGCGATCTTCGCCGGGCTCAACGCCGCTCTCGCCGCCGTCTCCGCCAAGTTCTTCTTCTCTGCGGTAACTTTTTCTGGATCTCCGACTTTGGCTGCTCTTTCGAGATTCCGAATCTCGCCTTCTAACGCGAGCGAAACTCCGAATGTTCAATAACTATTATTAGGGCTTACAGGTTCTACTTCAATGATCCCACGAAATACTGAAATCGCAACGTGCAGATGTATCTTATGGATCTTCGTTTGTGATTTCATCTTTTCCAGTTTGAGAATCGGCGGATCAGGATTCACATTTTGTATTCGTAGATCAACGATCCAAAACAATCACCAAATTTGGGTGGTCGTGTGTATTTTGACATCTTCGTCATATTATTATCGAGCTGAAATGGCTGGATCTGTGGTCTAATCTGTATTATGATCCTATACATATGAAAGCCTGTACTTCGATTCGACAGAAGATCTTGCCTTTCATAAACAGAATCCATACCCTTGTCGAAGAATTTCCATTGTGAAACCATTGTTTTAGTTTCCATGGTGCATGGTATGTAGTGTCTATTGCTGATGAAGTATGGATCCGGTTTTAGGGTTTAAGGTTTATTGCCCTTGATCTGTTTTGCAATCTGAAGTAATGTCTGAAAATACCTTCCTGTTTTCTGATCCATTGAGTTTCATTTATGCAGATTTTCAAGTATGGATTAGTCGTTTTATGCAATGTTGTCATGTGGGGATGCTACGTCAACAGCCTAAGAGCTTTATCCTCTTTACAAGCTACGGTCACTAACTTCGCTGCTAATTTTCTCTTGTCCGGTTTGGCCGGTTTCTTCCTTTTTGGGGAATCGCTATCTTTTCGGGTAAGTTTGATCATTTCGATCTGGATCCTTCTAAATTAGTATTTTTTTAATAAACAGCGAATGAGCAAACCGGGTTATGGTAGTTCCCATGGATGGGCTGTATTGATAGGGTTCTTGACCTTGAATTGTGATGTGGATCTAGTATCTCGTACGATGTACCACCCTTTTGATCGATATGAATACAAACCTTATCCAAAAAAAAAAAAAAAAAGAGCGAACGAGCATATTTCTTGATAACAATACTTGGCCTATGCTTGCATGATTCTCATTTCTCAACATAGAATTTTGCTTTCTTGGCAAATATGCTCGTGTCTACGGAGAATTTAGTCAAGTACATATGACCACAAATTCAATCTGGGTCTTCAACCTTCAACCGATCATGTCGTTGATAAGGAATACATACATATTACAACTTCGACTGTTAGTTTTAGTCTTTCTCGTCGTTTCCAGTGGTTTGCAGGAGCTTTGTCGATGATAATTGGAGTTCTTATACTCAGCAAATCGAGCATCGAGAAGAAGGCTAGCACAGATTAAAAACGAAACATGCCAACCCGGGATCATCTCCTCTGTACATCTTTTGCTTGACTAATATACCTCATCATAGCAGATTCCATCTTTAGTTTAGATTTACTTGTTTGTGTTTTCGAGTGGCGGTGTAGTCCAAAGGGAAGAATCCCGAGTTTTTTTTTGCACACGAAAACAATCTAATACCGTGCGATATAGATTGCGGATTGTATAGGTGCCTTTGGCAGTTGGAGATGTTCAATAGGTCCAGTGTCTAGCTATGCAGATCAACATGCTAATACCGTGTGACCTATGTGGGTTTTGGTGTTCATTTCGCAATGAGCGAGCTAATCTTCAACGAATGTATTTTGTTGTTTTAGTTTTAGTTTTTCTCAGTTATTTTTTAGTTCAGTTGTTTTATTTTGAGATTTCATAATACTTTTTTATGCTGGATTTGATATATTTTGAAAATATTTATTTTTTAAATAAATGTTTATTTTTTCCAATATTTTTAATTTTAATTTTTATTTGTGTTTGGTTGATTCGATTTAAAGAAAAATTATATACTAATGGTCTTTTTTTTTTGGTAAAATGGTGTTTATATTGATTTTGGATATATTTATAAATTATTTAACTTATCCCGGTTTCGAATTGCGATAATCTGATATACTACTTGAAATATTCGTCATATTTGTTAGGCTTTGACTCTTTTAGTATTTGGTTTTTCTTGCAACATTTATAATTTTGTTCGTCACTAACGTGAGTACATGCCTTTCGTAATTTTATTATTATTTAAAAGTTCTCGTGAGTACACAAATTCATCTCGTCACGTTGGTGGCGAATAAAATTGAGAATCAAATGAATATAACTTTTCTTTTGATTGAGAATTGATCAAAACGTACAGACGAGATGATTATAGCAGCTTTCTTTGGTCTCAAGGGAAACAAATCCCCGGGACTTGATGGATGTACATGCTTGGGATATTATCGGAGACTGATGTACAAGATAGACATATCAAATCATGAGCAGTCCCTATGGAAATATCGGGATGATGACCACAGGCCAACCTTCTGCACGAGCAGAACGTGGCATCAAATCCGCCAGCGCGGCGAGGAGGTTCCCTGGCACTCCATTGTTTGGTTCCCTAAAGGTATACCTAGATATGTTTTTTTGATGTGGCAGGTGATGTTGTCCAGATTACCGACCAAAGACCGACTTCATCGGTGGGGCGTGACTTCGGAGACAACGTGTATGTTATGCGACGAGCTAGAGGAGACACACCTGCATTTGTTCTTTGAATGCAGGTATAGCAGACAAGTATGGAGGCACTTTGCGGGTCTATGCAGTCACGATCCTCCATCAAACATCTACCAATGCACGGATTGGGCGAGCAACGAAACGCTGATCGACGGAAGAGACACGAAACGGATCCGACAAATCCTCCTCCAAACTACGGTGTACGAACTTTGGAGAGAGTGGAACAATAGGATTTACCGAGCAAAACGCCGAACAATTGAACATACGAGATGGAAGATCGATCGAAACCATTCGGAATTTACTACTAGCTATCAAACAGAACCCTCAACATGATAGAGTATCTTTGCTTGCAGATTGATATTATTTGACGCGAGACGTTAGAAATTAGATCGTGATAGTTTTTTTTAAGACATATTACCATTTTCACATGGGTTTCACTATCTTTTGTCAAAAACAGAGAAGCTGGGTTGTAATTTTTTGGATATAATACAAATCACCTTGAAAACCAAAAAAAAAAAATAGACATATCAAAGGCTTTTGACTCCATTCGGTGGGACCTTATTATAGAAATCCTTCGAGCAATTAACCTACCCCTTTCAGTTCTTCACCTTATCTCCACTGCTTCCTACTCTGTGAGTATCAGACTCTCAGGTTTTTTCAAGAGAACTCGAGGACTTCGTCAAGGTGATCCGCTTTTCCCTTATCTGTTTGTTATTGGCATGAATATACTTTCCATCATGCTAAAATTCAGGTGCTGAAAAAGAAAAATTTGGGGTACCACCATGGCTGCAGCGCTCTTATGATCACACATTTTAGCTTTTGTTGACGACTTGTTGATATTCTGTGATGTTACTTCGCATCCATTAAGGTCATTTTGGACATTTTAGTTTATTTCAAGACATTCTCTGGTCTATCCATCACCCTGTCCAAGAGCAATCTATTCACCACATGCATCTCTAGAGAAGAATCCATTACACTTGCCAATAAACACAACCTTCCTTTAGGCTCCTTATAGTCAAGTACTTGCGGCTGCCACTCAAGCCTACCAAGCTCACCATAGCTAATTGCAGTCCTCTTCTTGACAAAGTACGGACTAGAATGAAACATTGGGCCTCTAGGCATCTTTCTTTCGTTGGAAGACTTTAGATGCTCTCGTCTGTCATTTTGGGGGATCATTAACTTTTGGATGTGTGCCTTTATTTTACTAAAAGGATGTTTAAAAATTCTGAACTCACTATGCTCTTCCTTTCTATGGAGAGTTGACATAAATATTCACTCTGGGCCTAAGGTGGTGTGGTCGGAAGTAACCAAACCTAGAAAAGAATGTAGCTCGACGTTGTTTCTGGGCTATTAAACCACTCGCCAGATTTAATTTACAAAAGGACCCAAGAGAGCGGTAGCCTGACTTTACATCTATTCAACCAAACCAAGACATCTTCCAAGTTATGAGGTACAATGCCCATCTTAAGGTGGAGGCATACTCTTTTCCATAATGCGTATGTATACCAACATTTTTAAAGGAGATGGTTCCGAGATTCCCCTACACTGCCACACAAGATGCGGTTAGGTGGTACCTGGATTCTCCAAGCCAAGAGGCGGTACTTGGTCGCGTTTCTAGTCAACAAAAATATCCATGTCATGAAAGTGTGTCTAGTGAGATGCCCTTTGAACCAAACAAGCGGGTACCATGGAACATCTTCTGTTGGTTGGCAAATAAGGTTCCAGACCGTCGTAGAAGAGAATCGTGTCGAAGCCCTGTTAGGCATGATCCAAAGGTGGGCATCTTCTAGATCTGCATTAGGCCTAGTATCCAACAAATGGGATAGCAATATCACTTGCTCATCTGATCTTGGGTTTGGGATTTGCCAACGGTTGTTCTTGTAAATCTGTGAGACACGAACATTCTTAGGGATGCCTAGGTCAGTCGGTCTGTTTTCTCCCAAAACTTCAATTAGTCTACCAAGAGAGATCCAATATCCATCCAGAAATATATATTTTCTCCGTTACCAAGTTTTAGACGAGAGAAGTTGTTTGCAACGTGTCGCAGCTTTAGCAAGCTTTAAGCCCCGAGAAAATCAATATACAAACACCGTTTAACAAAAAAAAAATCTAAGAGCAGTGTAACAACCAAAATCTAGAATTTCTTCCTAAAACCAAAGTGTTCTACGACTTCCATCATAAACTAATGAATCGAAAACACAAGCATAACCGAATTTCACACATAACTCGTCCAAAAAGACATCAAACCCCCAGCCCAATTGAAATCCCAATCAAGAAATAACCCCAATCGATATTCTTTCTTTGTGTTGTCTTGTTACTGTTTTGGATAGTCTAAAGATACCCGGCCTCGAACTTACATATGAGATCCACGAATTCCATGCATTGGTACTCAGGTTCCCATGTGTTTTCCGAGTCGGGAAAGTTATAAGAGAAATATTTTTCTTGTATTATCATTAATAATAATACATGAATATATAGGCATATGTAGTCAACGATTAAGTAACGGGAGATATTATTTCATATCCTTCCATTATGCCTCCACAAGATGAGGCTCGTGAGCGAGTCCATTATGCCTCCACAAAAAGCGCGACGCATAATGCGTGATAGTTTAGCAGTGAAGCCATTAGAGAAAAAAAGTGATGCAAATACGCGGATCGAAGATCGGAGTTTTCCAATCGAAAGAGGATAAAATCCAGGTTTAAAGATCTCACAACGACTAGGGTTGTTGTCGATAAACGGACGTCGTCGAAAAAGAAAAGAAAAAGGTAGCATGTTGGTTAGGGGTTGTTGGGGTTTGGTAGAGGAAGAGAAATCCTCTTACTCTCTCGGAGGGTTATGATTTCGGTCCGGTTTGATAAATCGCATGGTTCGGTTCAATATTAGTGAACCGATTGGTTTTGTGACATTAGGGTTTGTTATAAACAACCCATGTTCTTCTTCTTTAATATATCGATGGTTTTGGTTGAAACGGCAAGGAGAGAGAAAGAAGAGAGAGAGTGCGCTGAGAGGAAGATCGGAGGCGGAGCTCGACGGGATTCAGGTTGGAATCGGTGGTGGAGCTCAGGTAGTGTCCTTCTAACCTTGGTTTATGCGTTTTCTCGGTTGTTCTTTCTCATTCTTGTACTTCGTCGAGCCACGGGTTTGTCGTGGTCGTCGGAATCGTTTCAGACCGGTGGTTCTTAGTGTATTGCCGGTGTCGCCCGGCCGAGATGTAGGCCCAAGCTTCGCTCGGTGACTGAACTCGTAAAAACCCCCTCCGTGTCTTCTTTATTTTTCTTGTTCTTGCGAGGTTACGAAATCGGAGTACGAATCGGATTATGAACGAAGAGGTAGTGAGGGAACGCTCTAATATACAAGAATTGGTATCAGAGCCCCGTTGGTAACGATCAAGGGCTATTGTGACTGGCGAAGGGAGAGATTGTCAGTTGCAAGGTAGATTATTGGAGGAAATGGTTCAGGTTTCTTTCCGATCTCTATTTTAATGGGTCGATCTCTGTTTCTGCTTCTTTGTTTCTATTTCTGTGTCGCTCTTTGTTCTGTTTTTTGGTAAGTCCGAAGGAGGTTCAGATCGATTACTTGAAACGGAGTGCAGAAATCGAACAAGAACTGAAACAGATTTTTTGAAGCTCGGGAGCTTGGGTTGTGCTACGGAGGAACGTGATTGAAGACCTTCTTTACGAACCAAGAAGTTCTGGTCGGCGATCCGAAAAAAAGGAAGATGTTGGCGAAGAGGAAGAACGATTAATTGCAGGAGAGCACTGGTACGTGACTCTGTTCTTGGATTATTCGTTCTTGTTCTTTGTCATTGTTTGTTGTAGGTTCCAAATGAGGTAGAGCTGGAATCAAGGTCAATCGGACGAAACAGTCTCCGGTAAAGAGGAACAATTTTAGATTGACGGGAGCGAGTTTGCATCTGAGGTAATCGGTTCGTCGGGAAGGGGAAAGTTCGATTGGTTGCAGAAGAACACAGGTTCGCGATTCTTCTGTATTTTTTCGTTACTTCTTCTACTTTGGTTCTTTGTATTTCCCTGGTCATAGGTCACTTAGCTCGGATTGAGCAAAGTGGGGGAGAGAACACAAGACTTAGGTGCAGGTTAATCTCTGGCTTGGAGGTCAGGTGGTCGTTGCAAGAAAGCAATGGTTGTCCAC